TCCACCCAGGACGTGAAAGTATCGTCGCAGCAAACGGATAGACGCTGGCTGTACAAAATTGTCAGCTAAAACGCAAGTTTTACCAGCTTAATTCTCGATTTTTTTGGAACATATTTGTTCCAGGCTTTTCATTCCTGCCTGCTTCTGTCACGTGCACGTGACACGTACGCTTCGCTGCGGATCCCGTTGTGCGTCGTGCCGTGCACAATTAGTAACAATGTTCCGGGCACATCGATTTCACTTGGTTCGGACACTGCTGCCAATGAGATTTGCGAAATGATCGACAAAATCAAGCAATCGGCTACGGGCACCAAGAAACGTGTGTTCATCGTTGAAACGATGGGCGGATACTGCGGCTATCTGGCAACTATCTCTGCATTGGCATCCGGTGCCGATAATGCCTACATTTTCGAGGAGAAATTCGATGTGCGTGATATCATCGAGGATGTGAAGGTGAACATATTTTTCGCAAAATTCGTTTTTCCCTAGCAATTTGTTCTGTTATGACGCAGATTTTACCGAACGCATATATTTTTGTTTGTTTTTTTTCCCGTTTTGTTCGTAATGAGGATAGGAATTCTTGGAATCGAAAAAAGTAAGCTGCAGGAACAGCGAGAAAGAACAAGCAGTAATTTCATAGTGTTCAGGATACTTAGTGCGTAAATTGCATAATCTTTCTGGATGGCTGTTAATTTCCACGTCAAAAATTTTCTTAAATTTCAGGTTATCGTTCACAAAATGAGCACTGGTGTGCAGCGTTATTTGGTTGTGCGCAATGAATTTGCGAACAGAAATTACACAACGCAGTTCGTGAACCAGCTTTTTGCCGAAGAAGGAAAAGGAGCTTTCTCGACAAGGTTTCATCGAATTTTCAGTTCTAAAACGGCGCATCATTCGACGCTAGTAATTGACGCATCTTCGACCCATCACCATCGGTGTAGTTCTTGTCGAGGGAATTGGGCCAAATGGAAAAGACGAACAAATAAAGAAAGCAGATGAGAATTGGCATAAACTTTTTGCTTCGCAACCCCGTAATCCTCTTTGTAACAACCGTGCCGCTGTTAATCCGTGGCACCGTTGTTTAATTATGTTTACCGTTTTATATAAGCTGAACTCAGCTGGAACGGGGTGGAATTCCAGATGGGCCCCGCTGCCGATTTTCCCGACTCGACGAAGGAAGCCCACGAACAAGCGAGCTGCTTCTTCACCACCAATAGCGGAGATATTCCTTTGGACGAAGCGGCTGTTTCAACGCCACCAAAATAGATATTTACTATCGGCTGAGGCTGCTCCTCGGTTATCCACAGCAAACCGAGTTCACACCCTCCACCGCTCGCTTTTTGTATTTTTTCACTGCGTGTATAAAACTGTTGTGACCTCCACTTTATTAGACCATTGGGGGAGGCTATTTGAAATAGCAATAGAAGAAGTCGGAATAATTTATTTTCATGTCATTTCATGTTTTTTGCTGATATCGAACCATACTAGGAGAATATTATCGCTTTTAATAGTACAGATTGATCGGCATCTCTGATGTACTGGATTACAGGATCAATGTACTTGGGCATGCGCAACAAGGCGGCAATCCAACACCGTTTGATCGCAATATGGGCACAAAACTGGCAGCCCGGGCGCTGGAGTATATCCTG